AATTATATAGCTGTTCCTGGGTAGGTGGAAGAATGTCTGATCCCATATTTTCTCTGTTCTGCACCTGTGAAGATAAACTTGTAATTCATTATTAGTGTGGAATAGAACAGACTTTAGTTTTAGGAGACAGACGTAGCCTACAGACCCTAAAGTCACAATCTGCACAGCGTTGCTTATGGGAAGCCAGCAAGGAGTTTCCTTAATGAAAGGTCTGCGGAGGTCCTTCACAGGTGCCTGAGGCTTTCACCTTTTCTTTTGCATAAGGAGTTGCCAGGGAGGCCCTGAGATTTTTATTTTCTTTTACAGGAGTAAGATGGCCAGAGGCAAAGGGTGATGGCAGCTTAAACAAAGCTACATTAGAGGCAAAGAAAAGTGGGAAGAAATTGAAATATATTTTGAGAGAAGCTAGCGGAGCTGCTGATGGAGAAGAGAGCGGAAAAGGGAGAAACCAAAGATGACCCATAGGTTTCTAGTTTGAACAACTGGAGAAACAGTGCTATCACTTCCCAATATGGCAACAGGAGGAGAAACGAGTGTTGAAGGAAAATGATAACCAAACACAGGTATGTACATGTATGTGTAAGCACAGTACCAAAGCTAAATCCTAGTGCTCTGGACTGGGATTTTAAAAGCTTGGTTTGTGTTGCCACTAAGAGCAATACCTTCTCTACACCTTGTTTTTTCCCATCTGCAACATGGGGATAATCGTATCTGTCTTTACTGTTTCAAGGGGATGCCGAGAAGATAAATGAGATAATATACATAAAAGTACTTTGAAGTCTTAGGAAGATAAGAACTGTATAAATCTAAGCTGTCATTATTACATCACAAGGCGTGTTTGTATTTTTCACGGATCTACTCGAGGTCACAGGGGTCATAAGCATAACACGCTTACATTCTTTCCTTCATGTTCAGTTCCCAGAAATGAAAAGAGGAACATGCTTCTCTCTTCCCACTGTCCCTTCCCCTATAATATTCTCTTGACAGGATTTTGCAATTACTAGCATTATCCCAAACTTTTTTAAGACCCCAGGAAGCGAGAACTTTACCCAGAATAACTCTGCCTGTGTGATTCTTGGCAGATAATGATGATATCTTACTTTATTAATAGAGATGTACAAAGAACCAGCATGTTGTCTCATATAATTGTCCAATACTTCTATAAGAGGTATTATTTTTATTGCCATTTGACAGACAGAAATGGGCTCAAGAAGTTAAAGTAACTTGCCTAAGACTTCATTTTACAGCTGGAGTAGCTCAAGTCAATAAGAGAGCTGTGTTCTAAAAAATATAGCAAACACACACCAGGGGCGTTCAAAGAACTGCAGCCATGTCCCAGATGACGTTCATGGGATGTGCGCTGGCTTCTTTGATCACTGCGGTCTCGGGACACATTATCTTCAGTCTTTTGAAAATGGATGTGACTACTGATTTTCTTGCCTAGAGTTTCAAGAGTGGCACCATTCTACCTATAACCTTGTATGCTGCTCTCTCTAGAAACAAAAAACCAACATAAGAACAAAACAAAAATTGTCCCTAATGCTCCAGAGTAATCACATGATTAAGTCTCTTCTTTCCCTTGGGAAGAGAGACACTGCTCAGCCCTGCCTGGGATGGCGATACGATGGTTATGTGCAAAAGAGAGGGCCCTGGGAAGGTGGCAAGAACCCTGGATGTGGAACTCGGAAAGCTGGGGTTGAGTTTTGATTCAGCAGTACTTATTGTATGACTTGGGAAGGAAGGTAACCTATTTGAGATTCAGTTTGAATAACTGTAAACTGGATGTATTAATAAATCCTTGTCTGTTTACTGACTATAATCGCCCAGTAAGCCTTACCTGCATCTGCAGTTTCAGATGCACAGCCAAGCAGCCACTTCCAGGTTGCCTTGCTTACAAATTGGATTAAAAATTCTCCATTCCATTCATTCCTTCCCTGGTCTTTCTCAGCTCAAATGCCTGTGTATTTGCTCACTTTTAATGGAGGGGAAGTGGGATATTATTTTTGGTGTTCACGCATTATGACTCTCAGCATATTAATGTATCTAGAACAAAGCTGAGGAAAGATGATGGAGGGTTGCTGTGAGAATGGAATTTATGCACGTAAGATGTTTAGCACAGTGCCTGGCTTACAGAGAGTGACAATTTTTAGCTGTTATAATTTTTTCATATTTAGGAGATCCTTATTTGTCTTGAATGATTTAGCTGTGGCCCTCGCTGGGGGAGGAGGATCTGAGACTCCTCTCGAAATTGTCAGCCTGGTTGGTGGCTGGGCAGGAATTTCTTGCATAATCTCTGCAAGCCTTTCTTCTTATTTCCACCTAGTTCCTGCCCACTGCTGAGGAAGGGTACTTGGGATAACTTTTTGTAAATTGATGGTAAATGCAAATAAAATAATAACAACTTTAGATCAATGACAAAATTTTAACTTGTTTTTCCTCTAAATTGAGTCTGGAAAAACCCCAAAGCCTATGGACATGTTTTCAACACCACACCTGAGTGTGCAGGTGCGCGCCTGGGGCGACCAAAGATCGCGGCGGCGGCGGCGGCTCCCGGCTCAGATGCAAGAGGCGCCGGGCAGCGAGCCTTCGGGCGCCCCCCCTGAGGGCAGGCTGGACGCCGCCCCCAACACCGCCGTTTTCCCAGCCCCCTCCCCTCCCGGTTTGAGTTTGTGAGTCAGCAACCCCCAGCTCGCCGGGGTTGGTGTCCCGGTGACGCCCGGGCGCGGGCGGCGGCTGCAGAGCTGCCCTGCTGGCGCTGTCCCCGCTGGCGCGACCAGCCTCCCGGACCTCCGGGGTCACCGCACTCCGACTCCACCAGTGCGTGCCCAGGGCCGGCCGGGCGGACGCTCGGCGAAGCGGGGTCGGTTCCCGCCGGGGCCGCCTCCGCCCCTTCCCCGCCCCCCGCGCCGAGGCGGCTCCCGCTGGGGAGGGGCGGCCGGGGCCGTCGGGGCCGCCGCGGAGGAGGACGCGGCCGGCCTTGCCCCGAGGCTCCTTCCTCCTGCACTCGCCGCCACCCCCCACGCGTCCCCCTCGGGCGGCTCCATTTTCCGGGCGTGTTTTCCTCAGGGAGAAAGTGTCTGTCCCCAAACCTTCCCCCTCGCTGCCCTCTGAGAGCCCCGCTTCCCGGACTCCCGGCCTCACAGCGTCTCCTCCGGCCGCCGCCCCCGTCGCGCCCCTGGGGTCCGGCGGGCCCAGCGCGCAGGTACCTCAGAGCCGGGCGGCTCCCGGGGGAGGTGCCGCGCCCGCTCCGGGGGGAGGCGCTGTGGCGCGGGGCCGCCCCCTTGCGCCCCGGGCGCCGGCTGCGGCTCGGCCTCCTCCTCTTCCTCCTCCTCCTCCTCCTCCTCCTCCGCCCTCCTTGGCTGGGAAAGCGGGAGGCGGCGGCGGCGGCGTGGTGTGTGCGCGCGAGAGGGGGGCAGCAGAGAGGAGCCTCCGGTGCCGCCGCCGCGTCAGAGACACCGCGAGCGCCGGGCGCGGCGGGGCCGCATCTGCATCAGCCGCCGCCGCCGCCGCCGCCGCTGCGGGGCCGCGAACAAAGAGGAGGAGCCGAGGCGCGAGGTAGGACGGGCGCGGGGCGGCGGGGACCCGGCGTCCGCGGGCCGGACGCGGAGGAGGTGGTGGCCCGGCGTCCCCTGTTCCCGCACCGGCCAGTCTCCCTGTGCCCTCGCCCCCTGGGGGCCGGGAGCGCGGATCTGCGGGCGCGGAACCCGCGGCCTCTGCCGTCTCCGGGCAGGAAGCTGCCGGGCGCGGTGCCGCGGTCTCCCGGGCGCAGCCGGGCGCCGCTCCCGGTGGCGCGGTCTCCCCGGGGACTCGTCTCCGCGGGTTCCAGCCCTGCTCCTCCGCGGCGCTTCGCGGGGCTGAGTTTCGCAACTTGAGGCTGCGCATTTATTTTAAGTCCTTGAAAACTTCCAACAGTCGTGTGGGGGGACTTTCGTCCCCCGCCTGACCTACGGGAGGCGGGGATGAGGCTGTGGAATGAGCGCCCCATTCCGGACCGGCGGGGCCGCAGCCCGGCCCGCGACGTCCCCGCCCGGACACCTGGCCCGGTGTCTGTGGGGCGGGCCGGGCTACCTGCGCCGGGCGCGCGGGAGGGGGCGCAGCCCGGGCTCCTCCCGACTTTGTCAGGAGCAGCTGTCGGTGCTGCCCGCCCGGTCTCTCCGCGCCTTCGCCGGCGTCCACGCTCGCGCTGATTTCGGTGGGGGGAGAGCGGCGCGGTAAGTGGATTGCTTTTTCCCGAATGGCCCCGTTTTCATATTATGCTCGCAGTTTTCAGCCCAGCATTCCATTGTCAGATTCTTTAGTGTTGATTTTGCCAGGTTTTCTGAATGGGATTAGGACGGGCTGTTCAGAAATCTGTTTCAGAGTTTGTCAGCCACTGCCCTGAAGGGGGCTTTTATATTTTAGCTGCTTTCAAGCCAATCTGTGTCCTTTAGAATTGTCAACCTTCAGCTCTTTTCGGTTGGGCAAGATGAAACAGTTCTATTTTTAAGAGCAGTGAAGAAACATATGTATTTAATATTGGGATCATTTACCACAAGCGATCATATGAGGCATGGTTTCTTAAACGCTAAAAGTGGCTTAAAAATAGGGAACTTCGTTGGATTTAATAGTAATTTCAGGTAGAGGAAACTTTCAGTTGCTTCTGTTCAGCTTCTCATGTGAGTTGAGGACTTTATTAAGGCAGCTGATAGCACTTTCAGAGCTTAAGACATTATGTTCTTTATTGCATTTCATGAATCCTGTTTATTACAGGAATCCGGTTTAACACTTGATAGCTAGCTATTCCTGCCCAGACATCTTCAGGGGTTAATTCTGAATTGTTTAAAAAGCCTATTTTGTTTTTAATTGTTGACTTTGGAGTTTAGGAACCACATTCCAAAGCAAAGCTACACTATTCAGAGAGGGAGCATTTTGTGTACTTTTTGGTTCTTGGCTCCTTTGTGAACTTTTTCCCCAGATAACAACACTAATTCTCTTTTTTCCTTCTTTCCCCATGACTCTAGAGCAAAGTCTGAAATGGATGTTACATGAATCATTTTAAGGGATGCACACAACTATGAACATTTCTGAAGCTTTTTTCTCAGTAAAGTAGATAAAGATGGATGAATCTGCCTTGTTGGATCTTTTGGAGTGTCCCGTGTGTCTAGAGCGCCTTGATGCTTCTGCAAAGGTCTTGCCTTGCCAGCACACGTTTTGCAAACGATGTTTGCTGGGGATCGTAGGTTCTCGAAATGAACTGAGATGTCCTGAGTGCCGGACTCTCGTTGGCTCGGGTGTGGAGGAGCTTCCCAGTAACATCCTGCTGGTCAGACTTCTGGATGGCATCAAGCAGAGGCCTTGGAAACCTGGCCCTGGTGGGGGCAGTGGGACCAACTGCACAAATGCATTAAGGGCTCAGAGCAGCACTGTGGCTAATTGTAGCTCGAAAGATCTGCAGAGCTCCCAGGGTGGACAGCAGCCTCGGGTGCAAGCTTGGAGCCCCCCAGTGAGGGTGAGTACCCTGCGGGGGCAGTTTGGTGAATAAAGGTGGTTATGTCCACAGTTTTTTCTTTATTCCTTAGCTTGATGTTTTCTAAATCAGCTCATTGCTTAAGAAGCCTCTCTTACTAGAACAGATAGGAGATTATACCTCAGGATCTTTTTTCTTCTGTCTTGGAATGAGATTGGATATAAATAACGAATTTTCTTGTTTCGAAAGTTCTCTCCAGATAGTCTCTGTTATCTTTTAAGATAAATTTTGAGAAACATGTAGCAATTACTCAATGAAATCTAAAACACAGCAGTTGTTTTGTGCCCATTTTAAAGTGGAAATTTGGCATGGTTTTAGCCTTTTGATGGAGTTGAGAATAATTACATATATGTGTGTAGTACGTATGTGTATATATGTTATAATTATGTGTGGGTAAATCATAAGTAGGAAATCAAGACTTAATTTTTATGTTGCTTAGCGTCATTCTATTGGTTTTATGAATACACAGCACAGAATTGACTCGTTGGAGGAATTCTTAACAAATCATGGCCATAGGTAGCTGAGTTCCGTTGCTGTAGCAACAAAATGTCACTTAGGACTATGCTAAAACATCCAGCTTTATGTTGGGTTTTACAATGAGTGAAATAAAATATTTTCATCAAAATGATTTTTCTTGGGATTTGGGCTTTGGCTGAAATAATTTTAGATGAAACTAATTATTTGGCCAGCTGCTACAACTGACTCACAGACTTTCCAGAAGGTAAGGTATTCCAAGTAAATATAAATTATGTTGCTGGTGATGGCTCCCTGATAAGAAGATGTGCTTTTCTCCTATTTGTAAAAATAAAAGGTAGTCCTGGGCATCCTATGATTAAAACAATTCCATTTTTGTTGGAAGAAGCAATTTTGATAATTGGCTAAACTTGTAAAATCTAATTTTAAAGAACAGTTTATCTGGATGAGAGTATTTTTTTCAAATATTGATAGTAAACACTCAAAACTGACTTCATTAAATATAGGAACTGCTTATTGGGATGACATTAGACAGCATAAATTCACAGCTGTGGATGTCAGACAACTGTAACAGAGTTTCCCCTCCTTTCTCCAGCTCTTCTTTTACAAATGATAACAGTATTTACTATCACTAGATGTGAAGTATGTAAAGCATTTTAATCACTAGAAAACAATTTCATCACTAGCCTTTCAGGTTTCTTTTGACATGTTTAATTTTTTTTTTTAAGCTAGGGAGAACTTTGGGTTAGGGAGGTTTTCTTTCTTTATTTGGAGCCCACATGTTGGGAAATAGATGTGCTTACAACACTTGTCTTAGATTGCCTTTGTTTTGTGGAGTTTACTGGTACCCTGACTAGTGTATATGGACTTATGAATATTTTAACCTCAGAACCAGCGATCAAGTTGATAATTTCTGAGACACCTGACCCAGGTCTGCTTAGCTTAATAAAGGGGTAGATCTGCATCTTTGGCGAGGTTTTGTTTCCCTGTTAATTAGACTAGTGAAGGCATAGCTTCGGGCTATGAATAGGAATTCTGTGTCTTAGTTGTTGACACTGTTGCCTTACCTGTTGTGGGGAATGCATTGAATGTGTGAACACTAATAAAAGGAATTTAAGGAAAAACTCAGGCATTCCACTTAATGTCCTTTGCAAGTAGAATTGACTATGTAATGCCACTTACCTGGATTCTCATTTATCGGAACTGCTAAGCTCCCAAAGTTGAACTTTACTTTTCTTAGGTAAATTATTTGGAGATTTTGATCATGTCAGTATTATTTTTCTGGTTTATTTGATTTTCCTAATTTACTTCATGTTTCTTCTTTAGCATGAGAATAATTACTTGCCAAGAAGCTCAACCGACTTGAGCCTTACAGCATGGATAAAATAATCGAGGCGATAAAGCAGGAGCTGGGGGAGGGTGGAGGACAAAACCAAAACTATTTAGTAGTCTGAGTTGATGCAAATGATGTAATACTTATAAAAAGAACAGGCTTTTTTCTGGTCTAAAATAGTTTCTCAAGCCAGGCGCAGTGCTGCATGCCTGTAGTTCCAGCTACCTGGGAGGCTGAGGCAGGAAGATCATTTGAGCCCACAATTGGAGGTCAGCCTGGGCAACATAGTGAGACCCTGTCTCTTAGAAAAAACAAGTTTCTTATTAGCGGTTATGAGTACCTTTTGCTTTCAAGTATTCAGAACAGCCAGGGCTATATATGTAGTTCAAGTACCGGAAAGATAAATACATCTATCTCTAGAAAATACTCCTTGTAAAAGTGAGGACATACAGCCACCTGGAGATTGTAATGCACTCCTTCAGACACTTCCCTGATGCGAGTGACTATAAAATGAATCCCGAAGGTGCATCCACCTCCCTTATATGTTCTGACATGACCAAGTGGTGCAATAAGCCTGTTTCCACATGTTGTGCAAAGCTGAAAGTGATAACATGTGGAATGCTGCTTCAGTTTATTAGTTAAGTTCTGTGTTCCACTGGATTGTGACCATGTGGCTTCCTCATGCATTTAGTCGAGGTAGAATGAATGTTATCAGCAGGTTTGAACATTTCCAATGTGTGACACACATCTTGTTCCCAGAATTTTAGTGTTTCCTGCCTAATATGGAGGAGAAAAGGAAAGAGTGTGGGATTGGAGTCACCATGGGAATCTGCCAGATCTTCGCCTCTAAGAATTTCTCTTGGTTTTAGGCCAAAGTCAAGTGGCGGAATGAGCCACCGGGACAGGGCACTGCAGGTACCTGTCAATGGACTACAGAGTGTAGCCGCAGGAGACAAAATACACGTGTGTGTGTGTGTGTGTGTGTGTGTGTGTGTGTGTATATACGAATTAGATATGGAAAACGTGTGTCAGTAGTTCGTATAGAATTGTGACCTAAGGAGTAAATTTCTGCTTTCTGTGTGTAGTTCCATTGGTTTAGGATCTCTTAACACCTGTGCATGTGTCTGTTTATTTAGACATCATTACTTAATGATCGCGTGCTGCCGTCACCTAAAAGTGAATTTATTGATCAAAAACAGATCACATGTCCCCTGATTTGCACTAATTTATACTTCACTTATTCTTGGCTTTATTTCCAAGTATTTGTTAAGCATTCGCCAGGTGCCAGGCACCGTACCGACTGCTGCTAAGTAACAGGTGATCATGGGCAAACTAGCTACAGATGCTGAGCTTCTAAATGCTCAGTCAGTTTCGTGGGACAGACACATGGATAACATAGCAACTGTGCAAGTATGTAATTAAGTACGTTCTACAACAGAGAACTAGGGGAGAGGATAGGAGGACTGTGTTTAGGGTGAGGGTAAATCCTGTGTGTGGTCTTCAAAATCTTCCTTGAGGAAGAGGCATTTGAGCTGAGATCTTAAGGGTGAAATGATATTAATTAGGTGAATGGGGGCTGGGCGGGGGAAGGAGCAGAGGGAAAGAACATTCTGAAGTCCAGGACCTACAGCAGGAAGGGGCATGGTCCTAGGAAGAGCCCACAGAAGGTGAGTGTGAACTAAGCAAGACGCAGGGATGGTGACATAAGACAAAGCCCCGGTGTGCAGGTGTAGAAGGCCACCACAAGGGCCAGATGGGGTTAAGGGCCAGATGTGGGATATAGATCGTAAGTGCTCTCTAGCTATGGGGGACACACATTTTCTTCTGCAAATGCGGGTGTGCTTTCATTTCTTCATAGTCACCATCGTACCTTCTTCCTCTCCCTTTCCCCATTGCTGACTGTTATGGGCTGAATTAATTGTTTCTCTCAAATCCCTATGTTGAAGTCCTAACTCCTAGTACCTCAGAATGTGACTCTATTTGGGGATAAGGCCTTTTAAGATGTAGTTAAGGTAAAGTGAGGTCACATGTGTGGGCCTTAGTCCAGTATGATTGGTGTCCTTGTAAGAAGAGGGGATTAGGACAGGGAGAGACACTGGGAAGACACATGGAGAAGACAGCCACCTACCAGCCAAGGAGAGAGGGCTTCAGAAGAAATCAACCCTGCCAACACCTTGATCTTGGACTTCCAGCCTCCAGAACTGTGAGGAAATACATTTCTGTTGTTTAAGCCACCCAGGCTGTGTGCTTCGTTATGGGAGCCCGAGCAGACCAATAACTGACCATGGACATGCTCCTGAGGGTTAGACCCCTGAGTGACCTCTGGGTCCACTGCCAGTCCCTTCAGTGCTGGTTTCCCCACAGACTGGCAGGGGTCCAGTCTTCTGTGCGTACTGAGGTGGATCCTTGAGAGGTTGTTCAGTCCCTCCCCACCCTCTCACCTGCCCAAATTGCCTGGCATAGTTTCATAAAATAGACAGGCATGTTATAGGAAAGTTGAAGTTTATGTTACCATATACCAGAAACACAGAAAGGTTTGGGGTAGAGGGAAGGAAGGAAGTATTGGGAGGGGGGAACTACTACTACTTTCTTATCCCTACCAAGCTGGATTCTTCTGTAACAGGAGTCTGGAGAAGGTGCTTTGCAGGACTTAGTGGTGCCTGAGGCATTACTCAGAGGAGAGGCAGCGGGGAGAGGATTGAAGGACAGTGGGGAGAAAGGCAAGACAGCTGAGTTGGTCAGGTGGGGCGCAGAAAGCTGTTGCCAGCTGTGAACTGCACCGTGGGCCATCTTTGACATCACCTGTTGAGAGCTGCTTTCAGGCTCAGGTCTGTGCCATAATCTCTACTAGGACAAAGATGGCATTCACGCATGTTTCTGTCCCAGAAGTTTACATTGGTAAGACGCACAAGAAACAGCAAATAAGGCAGCCTATAGTGAAGCTCCAAGCGGTGGGATGAGATACAGAGTAAGTCTCTGTGATGAAGTTCATGGTGGTGTTCAGGTTTGTGGTCCTTGGATCAAGTGCATGGTGAAAGGATAGACCCAGTGTGGGTTAGAGTGGTCAGGATGTGCCCCCGTGGAGTGGAGGGTTCAGTATAAACGCTGTCAGAGGAGTTGCAGAGATGGGGATGAGGATCTGTAGGCACATAGTGGACCTAAGCAAGACATTTAA